AGGGCATCCAGTTGCTCGAAGGTGACCCACCTGCGATGTAGGTAGTCCGCCGCGGCCTGTTCGACTGCACATAGGGTGAATTTGTGCTCCAATTCATCCATGTCAGGAGGGAGATGTAGGCATATGCCTGGTGCCTGCGCCTGTGGAGCGTATAGGCTCAGGGCTGAACAGACGGAGCCCTGTCGTTCCTCCTCTTGTGCCGCGTCCTCGTCAGTCGTCGGAGAGGTAGACCGAAGGATGCTTTGAGTCGTTGGCATCGTGAGTGTCGGGCGACGGCATTTGCGTGCCGGTTCAGGGACCTCCTCGTCAGAGTCGTCCAGGTCCATGGGGATACATCCCGAGCTGCTTCGGAGCCTCCACATCGCTAGGGGCAGCTGGTTGGACTGAGCGTCCAGACCATCTATCTGGGTCTGAAAGCCGACAAGTGTGAACAGGAATGATGGTATGAGAGGTGACAGCCTAGTATCCGGTGGCAGATCCCAGCTGATTCTGCATTGGCGAAAGCATCACACTCAAACCGTCGCTCTGTTTCAATCCGAACTGCAACATGTGCAGCAGCGTCGTCTGTAAAAGAAAATGGCCGTGATGATGTACAGCGGCGTATGAGCCGACAGGCTCGTGGAGAAAGGAGAAAAGAGTGGAGTACCGGCCGATACAGCTCTAGCACGACATTGTCGCCATCAGGATGACATGTGCGGACATTGTCCCAGCTGCGTTAGGGCGGTGGGGGTCTCGGGAAGGGGCACTCTTCCAGGAAGCGATCTGGGTAGGCCTGCATATCCCCCGCGACTCCACGCAGCAAGTCCGCGGCAGTGTGAAGGCTTCGAGACCAATCCTCTATGGTGTTTTTGCGAGATCCTGGTTTGGGAGTCCTTGCGAGATCTCGAGCCACAAAAGCATCGCCAGACTGGAGCATGTGGCCCTTGGTGTCGAAAGGGACATCGCTGCCTCCTGAGGCTGCCATCGCTCGGAATCTGGCGTTCGGGTCGTAGGCCTGAGCTTCCTTCATGACTATGTTAAAAGGAGGCGCTGATTCCGGTGGGTCAAAGGTAGCCTGCATGGGCTGGGGCGGGGGCTGGCGTTGGGCAGAGATTGTCTGCGAGGGGTCTTGGTCCTCCGCAGGGCGGGCGGGAGGTTCTCCCCAGATGCCTGGCAGCTCGGTAGCAGCACGTGGGGGCTCCCGCTGCGGATTCGCTGACCCTGAGGCAGCTGGGACAGCTTCCATGGCGGGACGGTTCGCAGGAGAGGTGGGAGATGGAGGCGATGCCTGCATCAGAGCAGAGTGGGCCTTGCCCCCGCTTTGGGATGCTGGGGTTGTCAGTGACACCGCCTCTTCCTTCGGCTCGATTGGCTTGGTCGGAGGCGGAGGAGGGGGCTTGTCCAGCACCAAGTAGCCGTCCTGGTTGGAGTAGGATTCCCAGGGAAAGATCTCTTGGTATACATACCGGAGATGGCGGCCACATGTCCTCAATTCCGTAGAAAGGTAGAACTTGGCCCAAACAGCAGACTTTTCCCAGGAGCCAGGGCCAGGTGTGAGATCTGACGGATCGGACTTTTCCGGAACCAGTGAGCCGTTGTTGTTGCCAAACTTGTCGTCTGATCTGGCAAAGGTGGCGGTATCTGTCCGGAGCTCCCCGTTGGCTCTCCACAGGCCAGCATGCACAGTGACAGCGGGGTTGAAGGCAGAGTCCGTCCAGGAGCCAGCAGGGAAGGGGGAGTTGGGATAGATGGGCTGTGGCCATTGGTCCCGCTCCAGCCACAGTTGCAATTCTCGCTTCATGTGGCTAGGAATTCCTCTGCTGACTCCGTCATTGACGCCGCTGCCCTTGCGTCGTTTGGTAGGCTCCTCATCCGACAGGAACTGTTTGAGGATCGTTTGGCTCAGCCTGTAGAAATCCCCATGCGCCGTCCGGACCGGGGCGGGTGGAGCTTCTAGGGTTGGTGGACGATGTAGATCGCCTCCATAGCCCTTGGCGCCGTAGCCATTACTCAAGGGGTAGATGGCCTCGCCCGAGCAGCCGCCATGGTCAATCAGTACGAATCTGGCCGGTTGGTGCCGGACCATGATGTTGTCCGCGTGCACGTCCCCATGAACGATTTGGGCTGAATGCAGCATCTGCAGTGCAGCCGCGATGTCAAATTTGAGTCGCTGGACTGTGTCCCCGGTGAGAGGACGGGGAGCTGACCAAAGGCGCGGCATGAGTGCCCTCGGGCCGTCTGCCGTGTAGATGGTGTTGATCACGGAGAGAGGCGGAAGTCGTGTAACACGATGCAATTCTTTCCGAAAGTCTGCCTCGTGCTCCACCTTGACCTGTTTGATGACAAAGTTGGGGTCCTCATGAGACAGGTGGACTGTGCTCGTGTGGCCTCTTCCCACTGTCTTGCCGACCGTGCCCTTCAGGAGGCTGATGCAGGCAGCCGACGTGGGTCCCGCTAAGGTGCAGGGGGTAGGGACTCGTTGCACGGTTTGTGCGTGGTCCGTCATTGCTGCCACAATAGCCGTTGCCATGCGATGGGGGTCCTGGTCTAGACCCAAACGGATGTGAAGGCTGTCCAGTGCCGTAGTGTCAGAAGGAGCCGCCATGTGCGAAGCGGAATGGAGCGGCAGAGTGCCGGGCCTTTGACTTGATCCTGCTGTGTTTAGTCGCATGGACTCAAGCACAGTATGGAGGATCTGACTGCCCTCAGCTTGCATTATTTATGAGCGATCCTATAAGTTGCGAAACTTTTTCCATCCTAGCAGCGTGGTGCAGGAGGTCATTGACCACCTTCAGGGTTAGGGCCGCTCATTGTGCGCACCCGAGTCTCAGAATGGCATTGTCGCTATTTGTGGATCTTATTCACCATGTTCTGGCGCTTCTTCGGTGAGCGAGGTGGCGTAGGTGGGCGTTGACGGCCCGACGGCAATGATGTAGCAGTTGGCTCTTTAGTCTGCACGGCCCGTTCCTTGTCGCCTGAGGTTGCCGAGGTCTCCGCTGTTGTGGTAGGTTTGTCCAGGCCGAGCTCGCGGATTTTATCCCATTGGGCAACGTAGTAGTCGAGATCAATGTGACTCTGCAGCCCTGGCATGTTGGGCGGCAACGAGGCTGGAAGGGACTCAGAATGCGATCTGGCAATTGGAAAGGCTGCGTGGCACTAAATTAGACACTGCTTAGCACATGCCGAACAATGGCAGATCGCTGCAATGTTGTGAACTCGGCGCAAGGTCAGTGCTTTTTCCACAGGCGTGGTTGCCTGGTTGCTTGTCATTGTGCGCAGGAGTGATACAGCTTATGGCTGACAGTGCACTCCAGGAACAAGGCAAATTTGAGCATTGCTCCTGCGAAAGATAGAGATTGTTCTAATTGAGCTAGGCCGTGTCCAGCTGCTGCCATTGGCACCTCTCCTTCAGCCAGCTTTGCCCCTCGCCTTACGAGCCAGGCCACCAGGGGCCTTTTTTCCGAGGCGCTCTCCTTCATAGGAGTCCAGGAGGGCCGCAATCAGCGAGGTGTACTGCGCAAGCGGGGAGTGGAGAACCGGTCGGAAGTCCAAGATAAGATGCGTCTTGAGAGCGTTCTGTCGAGCCGAGCAGTGCGCGACCAGATGGATCACAGCCTCATGCGGCGATTCGCCGAAATCCTCGATCAGCTTGATGAAGGCCTTGAACTGTGCAGTGTCAATGCCTGGTGGCTTTTGTTGAGACTGTGCCAGCTGGACGAGCATTGCTCCCGCTGTGAAGTGTGCACATGAACCCAGTGGGTGCGCTTTCCCTGGCGTGTGGCCTTTCTGCCACGCGGTCACGGCCTTCGCTAGGGCCTGTGCCAGGGGGGCGTCCGTGGGTAACTTGTACACCAGCGAGGCCTGGAGTTGTAGTAGGGCAAGCTGTTCTTCATGTAGTAGGAAGCCTTGAGTGAGCTCGGCGTTGGAGAGGGCGTGCAGGGCCCTGCCTCCTGGCCGCTGCTTGCCGCTGCCGGTCGCTGGGCGTCGAGCATCGACACCAAAAGACTCTGACGGTTCGCCCATCAATGAATCTGAAGCTAGGGGAGATGTGGTGCGACCACGTTTGTGGTCTGGGCTGTGGATCTTGTCAGCCATGCTGGGTCAGCCTGAAAAAGCTGCGGGTAAGCCTGCGCATGCCTAAAGCATGCTTGGCCTTGACGTGGGGGGGGCCATGCCCACTTATTGTGGGGTCCGGCCTTCCCACGCACAGGCACCCTAGTGGTGCACGCATTCCTAGACTGGGAGGGCCAGCACTCACCCCTTGAGGGTGAGTCAGAGTCACTCCTGTCTTCTCAAGAAAAGGAGGTAACAATCTTCCAAAACATGTTTGCGTTCTGAGGTCGAGGCGAGGTGTGGGCTGGCGGCATCATCACCAACGTATAGCGCACCTCCATGCGGATGGATCCAGAAAGACCGGTAATGGCCGGAGTGGATTTCCGCTCCTACATGAAAAACCCCCGAAATGACTGAAAAGTGGTGCCACTGGCGGTCCTGACCCTCCGTCCAAGTCGGCAGTGAGACTTGCCTGCGCAGGTCTATCGGGGTGCGTCGTTTGGTGCCGTCCATCCATCGAGCAACTGTGACGGGCAGGATGTCTGGGGCCCATGCCAGGGCGCATTGGAACATGTGGTTGTACCATGCCATGCAGGCCTGCTGCAGTGAACGACAGTCCGAGGAAAGAGGTAGCAGCAGCGGCGTAAGGCCATCGTCTTCGCTTTCTGGCAGTCCATTAGTGCGTCCCTCCCAACGCACGGGTTGTAGGGTTCCGGTGTGATGTTCTAGCAGACTCGTGACAAATTCAGAGGTGTCGTGTTGTCTGCCATCAAAGCGCCATCTAGGCACTAACGACCGGAGTGCAAAAAGGCTTGGGGGGTTGATAAGCCTAGTGTCCATTGGATCCGCCTCTGGGCTAATGCAATGTTCGACCAGTGGTCCCAGTTCTGCTATGTTGGACGCAGAGTCAAGCGCGGCTAGAAGGGCTTGTATGGTCGCATTGACATAGCAGGTATTGCCTGAGTTCATCATGCGCCGCATGCTGAGTACAGGCCTGGTGGGAGATGTCCCTCGGCGGTGCTCGCCGTCGCCGTGGGGACCGTGGCGGAGGCAGCGGGAGTAGCAGATCGGTCCGCCGTCCCGAAGAAGCCACTGAGGGACATTGTCACCGCGGTCTTCGGTTGAGGCTTGGAACATTGTTCCCGCGTTTTGTCCTTACCCTGGACCTTGTGCCATCCGAGCAGGACCTGGAACAGAACTATGCACTGTTCTGGGTGCTTGCGTTTGTCGTAGACCTGCAGTTTGCAAAAGGGACATGGGTGTCCTTTGATCATCTGCACTGTGTAGGCCTGGCAAAGCTTGAGTGCCGCCGGACCATCTCGCTGCCAGACCTGTGCATGAGCCTGTCGTTGATGATTTTTCATCTTGGTATGGTCGGGGGTCCAGAATCCGCACAAGATGCACCTGTGCTTGAGTTCTTGAGCTTCCGGTCGGGAGGCTATGCTGCTGAGCTTGTCTTTTGGCGAACTCTGCACCGTAGCCCGAAGGGCGGCTAAGCCTCTGAGAGCTTGGCCTTGCAGCTGTTCCTCGGTGGTGAGAGATAGCTGGCGTAGGCGTTCCGGTTGCGTACAGGCTCCCGACAACAAGTGGTCGCGTAGGCCCTTCCATTGATGGAAGGCCTTGTCGCATGCGGAACATACTGGTAGACCGTCCCTGGAGTGCCGACTACGATCAAAGGTAGGAGGAATGTACCTCTTTACTTGATCACGATGCATCCTTGTGATGTGCATATGTAGACCATGCGCAGAGACGAAGCCAGACTCACAGTGAGGACAGTCGTGCAACCGCTGCTGCGAGGCCTCGGTGCTCGCCGGAAGATTGTCCACCTCGCGTAGTATGTCCTGTAGGTCCTGTAGGACATGTCCCAGACACGTGACATCACCGTACGCTGCCATGTCGGTAGGGTTCGAGCCTGTGGCCGAGGCCGGCGCTTCAGGACGCAGTCTGGCCCACGGGCCCAGCTGCACCGTAGGTGCACTGGAAGTAGTCATCCTCTGGACGGAAGTGTCAGCCTCGGGGGTAGGGATGTCGGGTCGTTTGCTCAGTCTTTTTAGTCGCGAAGCCATCCGAGCTCGGATTTTTGCCACCGGGTCCTGAATCGAACGCAGCTGATATAGGTCAGCTGTGGAGATGCGGCTGACATGGACAGGCTGGTTAAGCACGGAGCGTAGCTTGTGTGCATACCAACCTCGGAGATGCCTGGCTGTTTCCTCCGTGAAGCCGACTTCAGGAAGTCCTGTGACCAGAGTGGCCCATACGGTGGTGAACCAAACCTTCAACCTGGCCATTGGCCCTGCAGTTCTGCGGTTGTAAACAAATCGCTTGACCTGCTGGAGCTTTTTGGCAGCTTCCGCTATACGGAAGCGCAGCGTTTGCATTTCGAAGTTCCCATAGGAGATTTGAATGCCCAGGTACTTGATTTGTGTTTCAAGTTTGTAGGCGGGGAAGGACTTGTGTCTGCCCAGTCGCCAGTGACGCTGGAGTTTTCCGTCTTGGTCGGGAAGCCAACAGGTGTGCTTCTGGAGCGTGGCCTCGGCCTCTCTGCCACTGAGTTTGACTAGAATAGCACATTTGGTTGGATTGACGCGCAGGCCTAGTTTCTCTACCTCCGACAAAAGCTGTAGGATCATTTTGTGAGCTGCGTCCACGTCCGCTTTGTGACGAATTGTGCGATGCATGGTAAAGTCATCGGCGTACCCAGTGAAGTATCTGCGGACATTGTCCCAGCCAAATGTGCCTATCAGCCTGTGCAGAAGACGGCCTGTTAGAACGGAAAACAACGTAGGGGCCAGCTTGCAGCCTTGTTTGATGCCTGTGGTGGTTTCCACATCCTGGTGCGCCCCTTGTGAATGGAGCCTGTACTTGGATCGATGATGCAGGCCGTGTATCAGTTTTTGTAGGGAGGGATCTGCGCCTAGTTCATCAAGCAGAGACAAGATTTCGCTGCGAGAGACAGTGTCGAATGCCTGTGACAGGTCGAGTGCAAAGGTGATGCCGCCGACTAGACCAACAGGACATTGTCCCCGCTGCTGATCCGCTCTGGTGAGGTTCGCATTGCGACATAGTTGCCGAGCCTCTCGCAGGTGCTGTACCACTCTACTCTGAGCGTCAGAGAGACCCCGCCCTGGTAGGTATGCAAACTGAGGGAGAGGCTTCATGTATGGCAGCGTGAGAGGTTCCAGGAGCTCCTTAGCCGTTCCCGCCAGGCCTTTAGCATCCGGCCGGAGTATTCCCAGCGGTCTTAGCTGGGAAGGCTTGTCAGCCGGCTTGCCCGGTTTGGGGATTAAGCAGAGATCCGCTCGTGTCAGATCATCGTCTAGTGGCTGGTCCTGTGTCAGAGCAGAACAGTAATGTGAGAGCGCTTCGGATACCGGCTGTGCGCAGAGCTTCCAGGCTGCGGCCGGTGCTGCTCCTTTCGGAACTGCCTTTCCAGGTTTTATCGAAGCAATGTGTTTCGCCAACTTGGTCTGCGGCAGTAGGGGCAGAAGTCCCGCGTCAGAAGGAAGCGGTGGGTGCGCTGCAAAGACCTTGGTGGCGTACTTGCCCAACTCTGCAAGTTCGTTTTCGGGGCTGAGCAAGAAACCGTTCGAATCCTTGAGCTGAGCCTTCAGAGCTGGTTTCCACGGGCGAAGATGCTTGAGAGTTTGGTATGCTAGGTGTTGGTCTCCCTGGTTGAGAGCCTGGTCCACCTCGGCAAGGAACCGCTTGGTTTGGTCTTTGCGAGACTGCTTGACCGCCAGTTTGTGCTGGTCGTGTAGCAGTTGACGGGCAGCTGCGTCTGTAGCTGATTCAGCACTGGTGTGAGCATTGCTCCCTCGTGCAGAGCGCCACATTCTTCTAGCAATGCGCGTCTCCGGACTTTCTGGCATTGCCACCGGGGTCTTAGGGAAAAACCTGGAGGAGGCTTCGCCAAGAAGGCGATCCCATGACGCCGGCTGCATGTCCGGAGTGAGACGGGTTGTGACCCACTCAAGCATTTGCTGAGCCGGCAGCGTGTTGTCCCTCACAGCCGCTTGCAGGGCAGTAGCGTCAAACTGATGTGTCTGTATCTGAGGAGGCGGCAGATTCCAGTGACGTATTGGCTTGACAGTCGCACTGATGGGCAGATGCCCGCTTTTCTTCCAGCCGCCCAGCGGAAAAGCCGCCAGTGGCGTGGAGGCCTTGGCAGTGCCTCCGGCTGACGCCTCTCGCGTAAGCACAAAATCAATTTGTGTGCATGTATCCCCCTGCTGGTACGTAAATAATGGCTGAGGTCGCCACGTGTTGAGGGCCACCAAGCGATGACTCAACAGGAAGTTGGTGAGCTCTGGTTCGTCAGGTCGCGGTTCCTGTGGGCTTATGAGCTCTGGACCTACCAGCCTAGGCTGCTTTTGCAAGGAGCTATTGAAATCGCCTGCGATGATAAGCGTGTCCCGGTGTGGCACCCTTTGCACACATCTGCCAAGAGCTTTTAGGACCTGTGCCCTGTCCTGACGATTGTTCTGCACCTGTTTGGCCGGTGACCAAACATGTTGGTATACAGCAATCAGGTGGATGCGGGCCCCGTGCCAGTCAAACCTGACTTCCAGGGTTCTGCCTATGACATGTTCCTGCCATCTCACACCTTTAGGTTGTATGTGTGGGGACAGAAAGACCATTACTCCGTCCGCGCGGGTTGTCGAGGGTTCCTTGCGGGGCGGATGGGTCTTGTCGTCATTAGGCATTGCCTCTGCAGGTGGCTGTATGTGGGCCTTGCCCCCGCGTTGTTTGCGTCTAGAGGCTTTCGGATCTGCAGCAGAGGCAGACGAGATGCAGTACCAGCCTGCAACACTAAATTCAGCCGTAGCCTGCCAGTGGGTCTCCTGCAGCACAAGAACATCACAGGTGTGACGTGCCTCAGTGGAAAGCCATGATTTGACTTCTGACCATTGCTGCTGGCCAAGGTGGCCTGCATTCCAAGACAGTACGCGGAGGGGCCTGGTGGCCTGTCCTGCTTTAGACCGTGGTGCGAAAGACTGAGTGGAACCTGGCCGCGGTGGGCAGTTGCCCATGCGCCTGAGAAGAGCAGGGGTCATGACCTGACCTCGGTAGGAAACGGGTTGCTGGCTTGCAACCACCTTTCTGCAAACATGCTTGAACGAATTCTTCCTGATCTGAGAATAATTTTGTGAGTGCACTGGGAGCAGCGCCATCCGCTATTTCGTCACAAGGCAAGCCGAGTGACTCCCTCCACCACGCGGTTAGTGGAAACCCTACCGCCTGCCCAGTGGGCCCGTGTTAAGACAGGGTACTGGGTCCAGGAATTGGGACCTGGCGGCTCAGACGCAAATTGTTGGCACATGGCACATGGCTCAGCGTGAGGAACCAACCCTTAGTCGTTCAGAGAGGGGCCTGTTTGAGACCTCTAGCAACGCAAGGTTGGAATCCAGAGCCTGTTCGAAAGCCAGCGCGAAACTTCCAAAACGTCTGAGCCGTGGCGGCTACTACTACTACTACTACTACTACTACTACTAAGACTTCTACTTCCACTTCTATTCCACTTCCACTTCCACTTCTGCTTCTACTTCTACTTCTACTTCTACTTCTACTTTTCTACTTCTACTTTTCTACTTCTACTTTTCTAATTCTACTTTTCTACTTCTACTTTTCTACTTCTACTTTTCTATTTCTACTTTTCTACTTCTACTTTTCTACTTCTACTTCTACTTCTACTTCTACTTCTACTGCTACTGCTACTTCTACTTCTACTTCTACTGCTACTGCTACTGCTACTGCTACTGCTACTTCTACATCTACATCTACTTGGACTTCAACTTCAACTTCTACTTCTACTTCTGCTTCTACTTCTACTTCTACTTCTGCTTCTGCTTCTACTTCTACTTCTACTTCCACGTCTACTTCTACTTCTACGTCCCTTCGACTTCTACGTCTACTTCTACTTCTACTTCTACGTCTCTACTACAACCACTACTACTGCTACTACTACCACTGCTTCTACTACGATGACTACTACTGCTACTACGACCACAACTCACTTCTTCTGATGCTACTACTTCTGCACTAAAATAAAAAAAAACGCAAGCTCAAACAAAACACAATCACGAACACAAAAAAACAAGAAGCCAGCCAAAATCGCTTTGTAGCGAACAAAATAACTCCGGATTCCGGAGTTGGGCCGAAACCACGGGTGAGATTTAAATTCGATCTTCCACCACATGACAATTGAAACAAAACGCAACACGAACACAAAAGAAGAAGAAGCCACACAAAATCGCTTTTCGGGGATCTTGCGAAAAAAAACAAAACTTAAAAATAAATCACACAAACTGCACGAAATATAACCAAAATAAAGGGCTGCTACCCCGAAATATCTTTTTTCAGACCCCACGCTTGGTCCATCTTGATTTCGACCCCGGCATGTCTTGTTTCCGACCTCCATCTTTTCTTCAGCCCCACGACGAGGTCTAGAAAAAGATTACGCTCTTTTTTTCGACCTCCACTCTACGATTTAAGCCGTCTTTTTCTCGGCCCCGACATATCTCGTAACTGACCCCGTGTCTTTTTTCGGACCCCGGTGGATCTTTTTCTGGGCCTCTAATGTCTTTTTTCTGACCTCAGCAAAGATAGAAGCACGCACACATGACATATCAAACAACACAACAAAGAGCGCCACAATATGAACTTTGCAACGCAAACCGCGCAAAAACTAACTTAACCATACTATAACTTCTCACACGCACACACGAAAAGAAGAAGAAGCACGAAATCGCTTTTAGGGGCTGAAAGCAAACGAAAGAAATCAAACTGTGTTCTCGAAAAAATATCAATCAAATGTTTTCCAACACGAAGGAAGGAGAAGCCACACGATATCGCTTCAGGGTGCAAAAGCAAAGAAAATAAGAATGAAAAAATACAAGTGAAAACATACACACACGAAAGGAACTTTTTTCCGGCCTCCAACTTGTCTTTTTCTGGCCTCTGCTTGGACCGCGGCTGTCGAACAAAAAGCAAAAAAGATCGCGGGGTCTGGAAAAAGACATCTCTGGAAAAAGACCAGCCGCAAAATAAAAACCACAAAGCTCAAACAAAAAAAACACAAAAGGCAAGGCTTTATGGCGAGCAAAATCGATAACTGGATTCCGGCAGTTAAGATACTGCAGCAGGCTGCCTTCTAGATTGCAAGCGCAATCTTTCTTCAGCCCACATGACATCCAAAACAACGAACACTAAACCGATTGCTTTTGACTAAAGCGATACCATGTCTTTTGTGTTTTCGAATTGCTCTTCCGGCTTCTTCTTCTTCTTATGCGTTTGAAGGCGAGCCAATCCAACTCCAAATTCGAAGCTACATACGTGCTTGGCTTGTCTTGTCCTGATGCTTCCATAGGCCCACCAAACACGGCAACCGTTCCCCGTCGGAAGGCTGTCTGCTGCGGCTGGAGTTCAGCCAGGAAACGCTCACGGCGTTTTCGTGGATTGGATGCCCCTGCGCGTTAATGTCATTGTTATCGATCAAGGGCAACAAGAGGGACAGCCGCCCTTGGCAGCCATCGTTGTGCGCACCGGCATTCGGACAGCCCACGGGAGGTGGCAAAAGGCGATCTGCAGCTGCAGACTCTGGCACGCCTCAATGCAAAACTGGTGGACATTGCGTCCCGCTCTGCGATGTCTGCCCTGGTCGCCTCACTGTGGAATGCTTACAAGTAAAGTGGCCTGCAACCGCGCAAGAAGGTTTGCAGCGCTCCTCTTTGGAAGTGCCGACGTTATTGGCAACAACGAGCGGTGGAATACTTCCGCTGCCTCAGTTATCTCCAATCACATCGAGCCGCCAAAACAGGAACGCAAGCCGAGACAACTGTTGGCAGTTAGAGTCACTGAAGCTGCCCTTCGACACCAGGTTGCGGCTGGACTTGATTCTATTGTGTGCCACCTGACGTGTTCCTTCCGTGTTATGGCCTTCAACAGGCTATCCTCCTTGGAGTTAACCAAAACGCCCAGCAGCATCCACCCGGGATTGGAGTAAGGAGCTTCGCGAGGGTTTTGTAGATGCCCTGTTTTCTTACCACTCGAGTGATCCTGCGAGGTTGCACTCAGTTTAACTTAGCGTTGAGAATCAAGTCTGAGTGCGCATGTATAAATCGCATGAGCACTACTGCTGCACTTCGCGTTGCTAAACATGCTTGCTACACTGCCCTGCTAACGACTTAGAGGCCCATGACGACATTCTCACCAACTTCGACGCAACTGCAAAGTCTTCTGTCAACCGGATTGTAATGACGGGAGTATGTCAAAGTGCTTGTGACCGTTGTCACATGCAGCTTAAACCCGACGGCTGCATTATCCACGGTCCTTTGCTTTTGTATTGAAGTCCCACACATCTGCTTACAAAGACGCAGCCTATGACTTGCTAGGGCACTTATTCTTGACGACCTCAGTAAAGTTAAGTTCAGAGTCCAAGCCCTTTGTTGTTCATTCCCTGCGCCAACAGCACTATTGTACGCTCGAGTTTGCTGATTGTGGGCTCGCTTCTTATGACAATCTTTTTGGCGTATGCGGGGCCTCGTCGACTACACGCTGCAGCACTCGGTCCCTGTAAGAAAGAGAGCAACTGACAAGAAATGAATAAGCTGTACAAAAATGCTAGGTGAAACAGGAGCTGCGACATACAGACTTGGTCGGCGAAATCGTTCAGCTCTGATATATACACTGTCCCTCGGATCACTGGCCCTGCTCCCCGTAAGACATGGGTCGCGCAATGGCCACCATCATCAAAATTGTCAAGTTGGTGGCGGGGGGGGGCGGCTAGTAGTATGGTAGTAGAAGTAGAAGTAGCAGTAGTAGCAGTGGTAGTAGTGGTAGTGGTGGTGGCAGTTCGCAACACAAGAGCAAAAGGTGAGTTGCCATGTGCCCAGCTTCCCTTCCAATGGGTCTTGCAAGGGCGAATCACTCATTCAGAGAGCCAGTGTCGTAGCAGCCCGTCACAAACAGGCCGCTGTATCCTGGGATGTCAGTGCCCAGCTTCCCTCACAGGGTCTCGCAAGGGCAAATAGAGAAGGAGCACCACAAGAGTGCAACTCCTCCACATCTCAATTCAATAAGGTATCGGAGACCGCAAGCGCGTTATGGGGAGTGCTTGCATCGGTTCCAAGCTGAAAGAAGGCGTAGTGCGCAAGTTAGGCCAACCCAAGGTCCACGGCTGTATACCATCCACTGCATCATGGATGGCCGACGCACGCAGAAAGTCAGTGCCTTCGTAAAAGTCCCACGACCGCTCGACAGGTTTAGCGGGCGAGCGTCATCAATGCCTTGAGATCAACTTGGATAACTGTGGCGCCGACTTGGAAGCCAAGCCAAACCCATAGTTGGAGTCTGCGCTCTATTTGCCAACACACAAACACACACCGATCCAGGTATGCGGCTACCGACCGTTGGTGCCGTCAGCTGTGAACGGCCGTTTTGCGCTCTCGCGAGCCCAGAGCACTCAATAGCTGCCGCGTAGCGACATTCGGCGGAGCGCAGTAGAGCAGCGAGAGGGTTGAACAGAGACATAGGTGGCGACACGTAAGCCAGGTATCGACAACCTTACGGAAGGGCAAAGCACAATGATGAGCCCAGCTGCACAGTGAAAAAGATGTCGAGCATGCAGGGCTCTAGCAGA